GAGCATCATATTCATCTACTTACATCCTTTCCTCTCAGAGGAGAAGACGGAAATGAAAGTAGTAAATAGGAAGCAAGGGTGAGTTAAAAGATAAAACAAAAATGAAAACGTGCACCTCACAGCACAGAACATTCTAAAGCCTAAAGTGATATTTTACAAAAAGAAAAGAATTGTAAAATTCAAAGAAACTCATGCTTTATTCCTTACTTGCATCTCAGAATCTTTTAGTGCAAACTTAAAGTAGTTCCTTTAAAAGTAGTGCATATTCATTTCTCAAATAGAGTTTTGACCTTCTAAATGGATTCAGTGTATGTAAAGTGTGACTCTTCTATGAATTTTATTTTTCACTGAAATCCTTACATTGGCTTTCCATGCTAAGATTGCAAAGGGAAACATTCTAACCAATTTTACGACATAATACAATTTGAAATTTGCATAGACTTCTATTTTGGTCTATATTTTCATTTAAGCACTCTTAATCACGACTTTAAAGTAGTTGCTTACTAATATATTGATTATATGTTTGAAAATTCTATTTTTTCTGAGATTGATACTGTCCTTAAAAAATTAACGCTTTTTTTTTGTTTTTGGTATTGTTGATGTTGGGTTTCTTGTTTGTTTCTTTGCTTCTGTTTTTGTTTTTGAACAATGAAGAAATACTCCATTGTAAAAAAAATATTACATTTTCTTTATCTATACTTCAGCTGAAAGGCAAGAGAAAAAAAAGACAATGAAATTTGCAGGCAAATGGGTGAAACTATAAAGAAAACCAACCTGAGTGAGGTAACCCAGACCCAGAAAGACAAGCATGGTGTGTACTCATTTATAAATGTTTATTAGTTGTTGAGTAAAGGATAAATCATGCTACAATTCACAGACCCAGAGAGGCTAAGTAACAAAATGGGCTCAAGAGGGGGGGGGCATCGGGATCTGGCAGAGAAGGGGAAATAGAATAGACTTTGTGGGTTGACTGGGAGAAGGCAGGGCTAGGCAGAGGAAGGAATCGGGGAAGGGGTCAGAGAGATGGAGGGAGAGGGGTCAGAGAGATGGAGGGAGAGTACTAAAAGAGATTATTGGATATGAGGGGATTAGGGGTGAGGTAGAAACCTAGTGCAATGGAAACACCCTGGATATCTACAAGGGTTACCCTAGCAGAGATGTCTAGTAATGAGGGATACAGCACCTGAACTGGCCATCATCTATAACCAAGCAAGGCTTTCCAGTGGAGGAACTTGTTGGAATAGGTATGGACTTGTAGGTTTCCAATGCAAGCACATAAGGGTCCTCTTATTCAGGTTCAACCTGGGCCACCACACGGCACATGGAAGGAAATGTGGTGGCTGGCGGTCACAAGCCCAGGTGTAGAGAGTTTTTATAGGGAAACACCACAAGCTGGGAATTGGCAACTTGGGATTGGGTAGAAGGGACATGGGGCACAACCTGCTAAACAGAATTATCTGGAATGCTCAGCAGGATTATCTAGATATCTTTAAGGGCCATAAGCCACAGACAAGATGTCTGCAGGAGGATACTGTTCTGTATCTGTTCGAGTTGTCATGGCACATTCCCAAGGTCCTTCATGGAACTGAGAACAGCAGGTAGTCTGAGATGGTGGCCCTTTCACTAAAATGGAGCCCCTAAAGTTAAGTCTAGACCTTCACAGTATGTTTTTCTGTATGCTATGCATTTCTTGTACTCTTTCTTCATTTCTTTCTTTTACTTTTGTTTGTTAGTTTGTTCATTTTGTTGTCCTTTTTTGTTTGTCTTTTTTTATTTGCCTATCTGTTTTTTAAGAGAGAAATAAGGTGTAGAGTTGGAAGTGTGAGGAAGTTAGGAGAATCTGGGAAAACATGGAGAGGAAGCCCTGATCAGAATATATTGTATGCATACAATTTACTTTCAATAAAAATTATTTATATAACTCCAATATCTCTTCAGTATTGGCTTCTATAAAATAAAAAAAAATCACACACTTCCAACTTATGATAGCACAGGATGAACATCATTTTTCAAAATAGAAGAACTAGGAGATTGTAAAGAATAATCATTCAAAAGTGAAAGAAAAATCCAGAGGGGAGAACATCAAATCTAAATGCTGCTAAATGTCCATCAACTGGAACTTATAACATAATGCTAGACTTCAGAGCTTAAGCAGTACCATCCTTCCATCCCTCCACTCTTACTCCTGAAGCACACACAGCTCTTTCTTAGATATAGGCTTGCTGCACTGAATACCTGCAACCCAGCTTGGTGAACCCTCTACAGCCTGACATCTCATATTTTAATGCCTCCACCGCAGTTGAGACTCTATCTTCATAGCCACATTTAATGGATGCATAGTTGCTTTTGTTGGCTCATTTTATGTCAACTTGACAAAAGATATCTGAAGAGAGGAAACCTCAGTTGAGGAAAATGTCTCCATAATATCCAGCTATAGGTCACTTTCTTAATTAGTGATTGATGGGGAAGAGCCCAGCCTTTTGTTGCATGGTGCCATCCCTCAGCGGGTGGTCCTAAGTCCAGGAAGTAACAGGCTGAGCAAGCCATGATGAATAAACCTGCCAGCAGGACCCCTCCATGGCCTCTGCATCAGCTCCTGCCTGTTGAGTTCCTGTCCTGACTTTCTTCAGTGATAAACAGTGATGTGGAAGCATAAGTCAAATAAACTCTTTCCTCCCCAACTTGCTTTGGGTCATGGTGTTTCATCACCACAACAAAAACCCAAAGACAGTGCCTTTCCATGGGGAGTTGGCCACACAGTACCTAGCCTCATCTGCTCTCTCTATAAACTTTGGCTTTGTTAGGATTTTTATTACTTTGAAGAAACCCCACGAGCAAGGCAACTCATAAAGAAAACATTTAATTGGGGTTGTTCGCTACAGTTTCAAAGGTTCACTCCATTGTCATCATAATGGGGACCATGACAGCTTGCAGGCAGATGAGGTACTGGAGCTGAGAGTGCTACATCTTGCAGGCAACAGGAAGTAGACTGAGACATTGGTTGGTATTCTGAGCATAGGAAAACTCAAAGTGCATGCCCCCATCATGATACACTTCCTCTAGAAAGACCTTACCCTCTCCAACAAAGCCACAGCTCCTAATAGTGCCACTCCCCATGAAATTATGGGAGCAATTACATTAAAACCAACACACCCCTTAAACTTGCTTCTTTCCCTTTAAAATAAGTACCATGTGGATTGTGTGTCACATTCTCTTGCCAGTTGTAGACCATACCCATTAGTCTGTAGCTGCATTAGCTTGTGAGTGCAGACCCAAAGGAAGCACATTACTACTGCCCAGTGCAGAACACCACTCTTCTCTTTAATGATGCTAATAACCTTAACAATTACAAATGCTTTACTGGCTTCACTCTCCTTTCCCAGTCTTTAAGCTTGCCCACTCTCCCTTCCATCCTCAAACACATAAGTCCTTTATCTTTACATTCATCTTAATTCAAATTTGCAGAATAAGGAAGAATGAAGCCAGATTCCTGATCAAATTATCACACAAATCGCCCCTTGTTCAGTTCACTTACCTCTCTGAAACCTCACAAGCCAGGCTTCTCTCAGCATTTGTCTCTTTCAGAGTTTGATTAGAACAGCAATTTTGAATCTGCTTATAGCATTCAATGGCCTTTCTCTCCCAAATATCCGAACATTTCAACATTCCTCTGACGAAATAATTCTAACATACTGATCTTTACATATTTTGGTTCATCACATCAATAATCTTACTTCTCCATACCAATTTCTTTCTTACTTATGCTTCCATAACTTAGTTAAGTTTCCATAGGTTGGATGGTTATGTTAAAAATTCCCATAACAGAAACCAACTTAATAGAGAAGCCCTTTACTTGGCTCATAATTCCAGGTTATGTCCATTTTTCAAGGAAGTCAAGACAGCACATGTTTGAAGCAACTAGTCACAAGTATCCACAGTCAAGAGCAGAAGTGAGTAGTTAAAAGCATATACTAACATATACTAGTCTCAAACTGCTTTCTATAAACTTGTCCAATCTAAAATCTGCTGCCTATGGAAGAGTTCTGTACATACTTAGCCAGTCTTCCTATATCAATTAACATACTCACAAAAATCCCCTATAGACATACCCAGAGATTAACCTAATCTAGAGGACCCCTCACTGAGAACGCCTTCCCAAGTGGTTCTGTATTATGTCAAGTTGACAAAACTAAACATCTCACCCCCTGAGGATGCTGTTGTCTGCCAACTCCATCACCCCTCCTCTCTGTCTGCCTCCCTGGCCTTTCTCTGTTTCTCTGCTGTTTGCTTTCCACTCCCGTTCTCTATTTATCTTTCTCTCAAACATCTTTCTTTTGACATTACTATTTATAGATTCCCTCCTCCCTTTCTATTGATTGCTTCCACTAAACCTTATCTTTACATTTATCTTCATTCAGATTCTTAGAACATGGGCAGCATGAAACCAGATTCCTGATCAAAATATCACACAAATCACCCCTTGTGTAATTTTAGACACAGTTCACACTCCCTACTGAAACCTCGTAAGCCAGTTCTTAACTGTCCATGCTTACCTCAATGTTCTTCTCCTTCAAGCTTTAACTAGAGCAGCAATTTAAACCATGCTTACTGTATTCAAAAGCTTCCTATCCTAAATCTTGTCTACCCAAGCTGGTATTCTCTTAAAATGACATCAGTGCTTATGTATAATGTGAATTACATATGTTTATTTTCTGAGTATTCACAATTTGATAATTTCAACTATGTTAGTGTAAGCAACTTTCTCTATACTTCATTCAAAAATTAATCTTAACATTATGAAGAAATTTAAAATGTCACTTGGCCAAACTAAGAGGTCTTAATGTCATACTGAAGATATACACCTGTAAGCATAGAAATACATTGTGTGAGCTTTTATTTCATAAGTAAAGTATTACTAGGTGAAGAAAAAATAGCTATCACTTTACCTTCTTTTTCTTTCATTTATAGGTTGTCAACAGTTCAAAAATGAGTCTATATACCTTTTTCAATTTGATGATTCCTTCTTGTGTATCCTCATCTGTGACAATGTCAAACAAATTTCCCCCATCTCCTGGGACAATGTTGTATTCAATTTCTGCATTTTTTCCAAAATCTGGGTCTACTGCTCTTATCCGTCCAATTGCTGAGCCAATAGGAGAAGACTCGGGGACTTTCAGGTGGAAGATACCTAATAAGAGACATATAATTTATAAGGTCAGAAGAATCAGTAAAATGTATAATGAGATTGCCCTGCTTTAAAATATAGATATAAAAAGTAAATCAAACTAATATCTTTGTAATGCAAAGTCAAAGACAATTTATTGACAGCTTAAAGGCTATGATTATATGTAATTGCTTCACTATATATTTCAGAAGTTCCTGATATAGAGGTTTTTAACTGAGCATGATCAGTAATGGAGGATGATAAATCACAATCACTTTGAGAAAATAGTCATATACCAATTGTATCTAAGTGGATTAAATATTAAAAATGATCTTAGCATTCCTAATCAATATCAATATGAGTAATCAATACCAATAAAATAATGTAGGATGCAAAACACAAAGAAACATTAGATAAACACTTCATAGATAAATAAGTAAGTGGGGTAGTTATTAAAAATATCTATATGTAGATACTTTTAGTGGTTAAGCTTATCTTTTAAAGAATAATATATTCAGTAATTGTAAGCCAAGATAAATGTTCTGTAATGATACATATATATACAGTCCCAAAATTCCAATTCATGGTAAAGTTAAATGCAGAGTAATATATTGTGATTTCAGTACATTTTAATATGTATTAACTTGGCATCCTTGAAAACACTTTTATATATTATCTAAACCAAGATATAAATTTGATACCCCAATTACTTTCAGTATTAAAAAATTGAAAAAATCGAAATTTCTACCACCAGGTGGAGCACTTATATTACTGAGAAATTCATCTTGAATATGAAAATATTGTTAAGATCTACAATATGATGTTAAGACTCTGAAAAATAGTACTCTATATACAAATTTTGACAAGTTAAAGAGTCTGGATTTTCAAATTGAAGTATGTCACTAACACAACATAGCCTTTATTTTACTGACATTTTTTGTATGACCTCAAAACCTGTATTAATGTGTTAGTCTATGTTCTGCTGTCACAGTTAGGAAAGGACAAGAATGGAAGGGCAAAATAAAACTCAAAAGTCAAAGTCTCCATTTTGTTATTGGTATTCCAATTTCAAATTTCATTACTGTTATGGATTTTGTTTTGAATTTCTAGTTGCATCAGTTAAAATTAAGCTAGGAAGATAATCAGCATGTTCCTTGTATGATGACATTCATTTAGTAAGTCACATATTAGGACACATGAATGAACATTGTGAAATTTCAGTTATTTTCTTTTTTACTCCCTATTATGTGTAGATATCTACAAGTTTTCAAGTTTTTTGAGCTTCAAAACTTGGTAATTTTTCCAAGTATGATGCTTGCCCTTTGCCTTTTAAAATTATGCTTGTATCCAGTGTACATTTCTACTATAGAATATTTGACTTCAAGTGGTTAAACATCTACCTACTGTAAAATATATCTCTATCACACATTATGATTTATTTATCAAATTACAAAAACTTAGAAAAGAGTTGGGAATTAAGGCAAATAAGAAATAAAAGTGGCCACTTGACAGAGGGTGGTGGTTTCCATTGTGTTCCTGCAGGACAAGATAAAAGCAGATACTCAAGTACAATCATATTTTTCTAGGCAGAAGTGTGTAACAGAGGGCCATCCATCTTTGATCATCTACTTTCTTAATGAAAATGAGGACATGACCATTACTAGTTGTGGTTAAGAGGAAGGTTTTGCTGTAGGTTCGAAGGAAACATTTGGAGACATCTGGAAGAGTCCAGACTGAACTGAGCCATGGAAGGAGAGAGGATAAGGGTGGGGGTACAGGAGAAAGGAAGAGAAAAAGTGGTTGGCAAGCTTAACAGGAAAGGAGACATGGACCAAGAGGACAAGAAGCCAAGAGTGTGTAGTCAAAGTAGCTGAATTTATATAGGATCAGAAACCAGAAGAAAAGAAGGGAGGCCCATCCCCTGAACTGTAGAGGTTTAGCATAGGGGGCAATGTGAGAGGTGCTTGGAAGGGTCACAGGTTATAGGTGATGCTGGGAGAGCTGGCCAGAGTCCTCTTTGATACGTTAAATAGGCACCTCAGTTAGCCAACTGTCCTGGGGTTGCCTTTAGACTCCAAAGGGAAAGTTCATTTTCTTTTTCCTTCTTTCTTTCCTCCTTTCTTTCCTTTCTTTCTTTCTTTCTTCCTTTCTTTCTTTCTTTCTTTCTTTCTTTCTTTCTTTCTTTCTTTCTTTCTTTCTTTCTTTCTTTCTTTCTTTCTCTCTCTCTCCCCACCTTCTCTCTCTCTCTCTCTCTCTCTCTTTCTCTCTCTCTCTCTCTCTCTCTTCCTTTCTTGTTTTTTTTTTTAACTGTTTATTGATTCTTTGTGGATTTCATATCATGTATCCCAATCCCACTCACCTCCTGTCCCTCGGTTTATGCCCTCTACTCTTGCAATCTTCCCCAAAACAATACAAAGATTAAAAATAAAACCAAAAAAAAAGGAGAAAGAAAACAATTCTTTCTTAACTCTTAGCATATACTAACATTTTACTGAGGAATACTTAAGATTTTGGCAAGTACAAATTACTTGAATTTTTCATTAATGTGGAAAGATGTTATAAACCAAAGTTATTTAAGGCACAGTAAATAAACTTCTCATAGGGAAAAAAAGCCACAAAGCAAAGGTAAAGCAAAGAGTATATGTTATTTTTCTTCCTTTCATTTTTAATATGAAATAGAAACAATTGTAGCACTATTTATGTCACGTGCCTGTCTGAGTAACTGTAACTGACATAAAGAATCTGAAGATACATCAAGTCCCGTGAATTGATTGAGCAGCGATGTACTGCAACATCATGACCCATCAGTAGTATTGAGAATGATATTAAGGATTTCCTAAGACAAAGAAATGGAGGTGTGTGCTGAACAGCCTCCTATAAATCCTCCTCTGTTCAGACATAGAAAATTTATTGCCAAATATACCAAAGAAATGGCTGATAGTCAATCTGAGAGCAACAGGGAGCTGTATATTTCACTGGAGACTGTGACTAACAGTGAGGACACAGTGCATCTGCTGGAGGGCAGGGCAATGCATTGATGAGACTTGGAAGACCGTGGAATATTTCTGCTTCTGTTTTCCCATCCATTCATGGAAAGTCTAATCAAATTATAGATTAAGTTCATGGCACAGCTTTTGATTTGAAGAGTTAAAATCAATTTTTAAAGTAACTATTAAGGGAAATAATATAGTCTAAAGTCATCTCTCAGGGATTATAGTTAGTGAAGTTGAATTGTCAGAATTGAGGCTTCTCACTGTGTGTTTGCGTAAGGGTGTTTTAAATTCTGAAAGGTAATCTAAAGGCCATCAGGAAACTCAGACTACAGATGAAATGGCCTCCTTTACAAGGCAATCTGCTGAGATATGAATTTCCTGTTCTATAGAAGACCAGTTTACGAGGCCAATAACAGTAAATGTGAAGACAGCTATTCTTTGTAGCACTTTATCAATATAAGCTATGTTGTGAGGGCAGTTCTTTCTGAAGACTGTCAACACTGGTATGTCCAAAATTCAATTATTATCTAATGGCTCTGGAAAATTTATGATGAATTGGAAAAGGCTCACTTTTCACCAACGGTTGGCTTGATACTATGCCCTCAGTAGGCGCACTTCAGAATTAAGATATAATCAAAGGAAAGCAGGGGTTCGTGAATTCCATGTTCTTGCACTGAGCTTTTAGTGCCCATAAAACACAAGAGCACAGGACACTGTTTTTTTCCTGATCTTTTCATTTCAGGCATACACTTTTATTGAAGTGGGAGACATCAGCATTCATTAAGACAAGTATATTACAAAAAAAAAAATCGTCTGTTGTGATAAAGTCTACTGAACACGGGGGAAGTCAGTGGAACTATGTGTTTGTCATGTCGGGTTGTTTAGGTTTCTTCCGTTTATTTCCAATGACTTGGCATTTTATCACTGCTAGAATCTCAACAGCAATAAAGCTGAGGTCATTCAGATTAATTTAAACCTCTGAAGTACTGCGCAACTGTGCCAAAGCTAAATCAGCATGACATACAGTGTAATTACATTGCCATCATTTCTAGTCACCTTATTTTGATGCATATGAAGCCCCTGAATGGTGCTCCCTGTACAACACAGATTAAGAAATGAAAGCAGGGACAAGGGATTGTGCTCCGAGTGAGTCAAATATACGCTCACATTTTTATCAAATGTACAAGTTATGCCAAACAAAATCATCATTTCCTGAGAAACGGAGAAAATTGTATGCACGAGATTATGTGGAATTTCAGTGATCGATTCTGTAATTTCTTACAGAACGCTCTCTGTTATTTCCACTGCAATAAACATAGCTGCTAGCTGTAGGTTAATTCACATTCTTTTAGTGACTATGCCATCTGAAAAATTATAGGTTGATTATATTTGGATTATTACAACTTATTCTTTAGGGAGAGGGAAGGATAAGTCAGAATCTATTGCCAGCCAAGAACAAAGCTCTAAAATATATTTTCCTTGAGAAAATTAACCAGTATAAATGAAGAAAACAATACATATGTTGATGTATATGCATGCGCACTTTAAAAAAATTATTATACATTGCATCCGTATGTGGTTTATAAAATCCATAAGAAAAAATTGCACAGATGAATTATAAAATACATAATAAATTTTGGCAAAAGGAGAAACAAAAATTGAATAATATATTACAGATTCATTTGAAACACAGCTTGTTTATATTAAAAAAATAGTAATTGAAGTTCGACTGTACTTAGAAGTTAGCCCTCCTTGTACCTGGGAGTTTGAAGCAAGCCAGGACAATATAAATCATGGCAAATGCTAAGAGGGAGAGTTATGTGTCTGAGACCAAGGAAAATGTTTCTCTAGATCAGGGAAGGCTTTGTCTTCAGTCCCTAGCAGCATAAATATGTAACTAAATTGTGGTCAATTAAAATAAAGTAAAATGTAAGTATTAGAATACTTGCAATACTAGAAGACTTAAAATAATTTATTTCAGAATGATAAGAATATTAATAATTTTGAGTAATCAAAACAGTAAAAATTACA